GGCGGAGGAGGCGCGGAGCGATGCGCGGTCCCTCCCGCAGCTCCCCGCCGGCCTTCGGGGCCGCACGCCCCGGCGGCGGGGCAGCCGGGAGGCCCCCGGTCCCAGCGCATCCCCCCCTATATCCCCCTCCCGGAGGCGGTGCCCGCCCCCGCGGCCTTTCCGCGGCAGCCGCTGTCCCGCCCGCCGCGCTCGCGGGTCGCCGGTAGCCCCCGGGGGTGGGAGCCCCTCTCCCTGCCCGCCCCCGGCCGGGAGAACCTCCGTTTGCCGTGGAAATTACGTCTCCTTCTTGCTTTACCCCTTACCGAAGTTGATTTGCTTTGGTTTTTATTTTTTTTTTTTAATTTTCTTTTTAGCCCACATCATCACTGTTAAATAAATGCAAATATCCCATCCCCAAAAACGGGGAGACCGAAAGCTGCCCCGGTCCCCACCGGCCTTCAGCAGTTTTTCCTCCTGTCCCGGTGGGATTCCTCCCGTTAGTCGCGGGGAAAGAAAAGGAGTGAAGGAGCCAGAGCTGGGGGGAAAAAAAAAATAATAATAAAATAAAATCCATGCTGCCAGAATCTTTTTGCGGTTCTTGAGTTAATAAAGCAAAAAAACGACGTGGCTTGGAGCTCCCGGAGCCGGGCAACGACTTCGAAGGGAGGGGAGCGGAGATGCGCAGCGCTTCGGGCGAGGGAGCAGGGTCTTCTCGAGGCGTCCTCCGGGTGGGAGACGGGCAGGGGAGACGAAAAAGAAACTGTTTAGAGTAAAATAAAGGAAATCCGTTTCAAGTACCCAGAGTAGAAGCCAGAACGTTAAAAATTAACAGCGGAAACAGGAAACACTTCTCTGAGTAAACACCGTCTCACAATTTCACCCTATTACAATCGGGAGGGCGCAAGGTGCTCGCCGGGGGCCGCGGCCACCCTCCGACCGGCGGCGGGGCTGGGAACCGGGGCCGGGCACGGCCGGACCAAGCCCGTCCTCCTGAACCGCTTTGGTGGCAAAGATGGGAACTGCAGGAGTTCCTGAGCCGGGAGAGAGACCGGGAGTCCGGGAGGGATGCTCGGGAGGCAGGAGGAGCACCGTTCTCCGTCGCCGGGGCCAAGGGACGGGCTGCCCGGGACGGCGGCGGCGAAGGGAAGAGGCGGCGGGGACGGCGGAGGTGGAAGGGAAGAGGCTTCGCCCGGGGACCGGCCGCGGGAAGACTTGCTTTTGAAAATCGCTGGAGAAAAGGGTGGCCCTTTGGGCAACTGCAGAGCGGAGGGGGCGGCGGGTCCCCGGTAGCCCGGGGGGAAAGGACCGGGAGCATCGCTTGGGCTGGAGGGAGCCCCCGCCGCCCGCCCTGCCGCCGCCTTCGGGTTTCGCTGCCCGCCGCCTCACCGGAGAACCGGAGAAAGTCGCTTTGGAGTGGAATTTCCCCGCGTCTCCCTCCGGTGCCTCCCGGGCCCCCGCCGCCGCCGTGCCCTCTCCTCCCCTGCCCACCGGGAGCGGGGATTTTGGGGAGCTCCCCGCCGGCACCGGCCTGAGGAACGGCGGCGGCGCAGGTCGCTCCGAGCAGCGGTGGGTGCTGGAGGACAAACAGCTCGGCTGAGAGAGCTCGTCCTCCTCCTCTTCCTCCTCCTTCTGCCCGTTCCTGCCTCCCTTCTCCCTCCTGCCCGCCCGTCCCCTCCAGCCGCCCGCCCGGCTCTTCCCGCCCCTTCTCTCTCGCTTTCCCCGGGGCTGGATCGTTGCCTCCTGCCCCCCCCCGTTCCGACCGGGGACAAAAGCGCTGCTCGGAGCCGCAAGCAGCTTGAAGCGGGGCGGAAAATATGGTAAGACGGAAAATTTGGGCAGAAACCCATCATTTTCCGGCGCGCCCGGACCTCCCCTGCCTGTCCCTCCGCTCGGATCTCTTGCCGAACGAGCTCAGAAAAAGGCGGCGGAGCCCGGGTTTTACCCCTCCGTCTGTAGAAACGCGACGTCGGGTAATGCAAAAGGTTCTTCTCCCCTGCGCCGAGCTGAGATTTCTTTCCAAACGGGCGGGTTTGAAGTCCATTTGGAAGGAAACCCGTCCCCTCCGGAGCCGCGAAGTAAAAAAAATCTTGTGAGAGCCGGGGAGGCTGCCAGAGCAGCTCCGCGAGTAGAAGAACATCAAGATGCTCTCTTTGGTCCTCCTCCCGACCCTGCCCGGCGACATGTCCGCATCGCAGTGCCATCTGCCTCGGGCCAGCAGCAAAACAAAACTTTCACATGGCAGCACCAACGTCCTCGGCGACTTCTGCAGCTCGGCGAGAGAGATACCCACCAAAACGTTTGTTCTTCTTAATTTTTTTCTTTTTTTTTTTTTTTTTTTTTTTTTTCCAAGCGGGAGATGTCAAATTGGGAGATGGCGCAAGTGCTGCGAGGGCTTTAATAAAGCTCCAAGAGAATTATTCAAACTCCTGTTTCCTTGCTTCACGCTTCACGGACACTCGACAAAGACCGAGAATAGTTGCGTTTTTGATGCTCAAAGTTATCATTATCAGCTACTTCCAGTAGAAATGAGTGCCATTTGATGGGTGTGCTGACGTCCAGCCCTCTTGCTGCAGGTTCAGCGCCGGTTTTTGGGTGAATTAATTCAACCAGTTGAGTGTGATTAACTCATATAGTTGGGGGAACCGTGCCAAGATAGGCACTCGGGCGCCTGGAGAGATATCTTTACATTAAAACCTATTTAGTTCCACCGAGGCTTTAAAAAAGTAACCGGGAGCAGCACAGGCGGAACCTGGCACTCGCCACCACAAAATTCCTGCTCTTCCCTTCCCGGCCAGGGCAGTTTAAGGTTGGAACAGAGAGGAGGTAAGACCTGTGCCTGGCTGGGACGTGACAATACACCATTTGCTTATTTTCAAGAATAATCTGGGGTCAAATAAAGAACAGCAAATGTTTTCGAGGCGGGCAACCAAAACAAATCACGGCCATTTCCAGGCTTTTTTTCTTTTAGTGGGTGTGTGTGTTATTTTAGTACTCTGCTGTTCTCTTCCCTAAAATCCTTTGTAGACCCAGAAAGCCTTCCAATGAGAACAAGATCTTTGTCCTTTAACACCACATTATCAACAGAGGTCATTTGCTATTTTTTCAATGAATTATCCCTTTTATTTGTTTATTTCTTTGATCAGCTATAAATGAAAGTTATTCGTGTATATAAAACTGAAGTTTTTACTGTTGAAATTGAACTGTACATGTTTACTACAGGAAAAAAATATCAACTCTTGTTTAACAAGACATTATACATCAATAAGCAATAACCTTGTGGAGGATTTGCAATCACCTGGTCTATAAAAACAAGCAGGACAAGTAACAGCAATTTATATGCAAAAGTAATGATTTAATGACTATAAGCAAGACAAAGCAATAGAATTGTGCTTCTTTTGCAGACTGGAGACAATGAAATGTTTAACTACAATTTTCCCGTACAAACATGAAACAATATCCATATAGAATAAACACCCTCACAAATGTATAACTGATGGGTGATGAACACACACGAAGTTCGACCAAAGCAAAGCACAAACTGAAAAGTGTTCTGGGCTGTTCATATTTTATGGTGGAAAAGTTCCTTCTACTGAAAAAAATAACACCCTTAGAAGCCTCTAATAAAATGCACCTATTTGCAGGCCATTAAAGAGGAGGCATTCTCCACAATTTATTGGAAATATTAAAGTACCTGTTAAATTTTAATGAAGTTAGTACTGTACCATATACATATATATTAAAACAAATTTAGATAAAATGCCTTCATCCAGCACCTCGCTGGTTCCTTAAAATTTATACCAAATAGTTTATGGCTTCTATAATGATTCCGTGTGCTTTTAAAAACACAATCCCACCACACCAAATAATACAAAGGTAATCAAACTGGTCAAAGACTTCCATATCCCTTAACTTTTTTTTTTCTTTTTTTTTTTTTTTTTTTTTTTTAGGCCCCTCCTCTCCCAAAAACTTTTTTTTTTTTTTTTTCCCTTCTTAAAAAATTTTTTTTTTTTTTTTTTTTTTTTTTTTTTTTCTTCACTGCATCACTTCAACATTTTGGTAAAGTAAAAATATATCACTTAGGAAAAAAAAAAAAAAAAGACAAAGCCAGTAAAATCCTTTTAAGATTGCCAATTGCCTCCAGGTTATCAGAGACTCGAATGTGCTTCCCCAATACTGTAGCTCTCACACGCAAAGTGTTTCTTGCAGTATGAGCAAAGCTCAAACAGGCGGCATCTGCAAGGGTCGAACCAGTTTAGAAATTTAACAACCATATCATGAGTGCATGAAACACAATATTTTCTTTATAGTATTTATAAATATATCATACAATACTGTTTCCTGTTATGTCATATACCAATATGGCATTGTACAATAAGCATAATGCCATCTGATTCTTACAAAAGCGAATCATTTAAACAAGTCAGTAAATAAAACGGTAATACCCGCTTTTAGGCATACAGATTGTAAAACTGAAGTTTACTTTTCTTTTGATCGGTTCTGCACAGCAACAGAGAAGTAAAAGATGCAACATAAGAATCAAAATGGCTAATACGCAAAAAATCGTTATTCACAGTGACATGGCTACATATATGCATTATTCTATGCATATTCTTTCCGTTCTGTTGGATTTCAAGATGAAAAAAAAAAAAGCACTTGCTTTCTACAGGTTCACGAAACAGCATAAGAACAATAACAATCGTAGAGAACGCAAATGGAGGAGTTAGTCTGGATTAACAAACTACTGCCCGGGATTCCACTCGATTTTTGGAGGCTCCCGGGTCCGGCTGATGGGGACGGAAACAAACTCCGCATCACTGGGAACAGGTGAAGGTGTGACTCTTGTTTGCTTTCCCCGGTCCTCTGAAAACCCATTTTACATTTCAATCTCGCGTTTTTCCGTTAACGTCCATCCTGAACGATGTCACCCAGCCCGCCTTTCATAGCCAAGTTCAGTGTCACTACAAAAGAAAGCGATTGGGACGATAGTCACATGGATTAGCATCTATAAAGCTGTAATGGCATGGAGAGACCTATATAAAGGAGGGGCGGGGGTGGCAGCCTGCTTGGCCCCCCCCCCGTCAACCAGACGAAGTGGCCGAGGAGCCGTTTATGGAGGTTTTCCGCGCTCTGTTGGTGAAGGAGGACTGGTGGTTACTGCTGGGGCTGCTGGTGGTGCCGTTCATGGTGCTGGAGATGTGGGGGAACTGGGGGTGAGGAGACTGGACGGGCGTGCTGGGGCTGGGCAAACAGGAGGAGGTGGAGGGGACGCCTCCCGCCGGGCTGCTGGCCTTGTCGCTCCCAGAGTCACTTTCCAGCTCCCCGCTGTTATTCAAGCCTTCCCTCTGGTGACTGATCTTCATCCTCTTGCAGGTAGGTCGCACCCGGTATTTGAGGGGGAGAGGCCCGTTCTGCAAAGCAAAGGGGACACCTCCGTGAGTGCCCTTCCACGGGTCACGTCCTGCACCCTCCCCATCCCCATCCTCATCCCCATCTCCATCCCCATCTCCATCTCCATCTCCATCTCCATCTCCATCTCCATCTCCATCTCCATCCCCACCCCCATCCTCATCCCCATGCCCTCAGGCTCACCCGCCTCCAGGTGTAGATGTAGGCAATGTCCATGAGGGTGTAGTAGTCCTTCAGGGGCTCCTCTTCGTACATCACATCGATCTGTTCAAGAGAGGAAGCCCCACGTTAAGGAGCAGGCAGGCATTTACCTCCAAAGCACACGCTGGCTGTGGGGTGGAAGCAGCCCCACTGCCACTTAGGTCAAAAAATGGAAAAAATCACTGCCCCAAGCACAGCAGGGAATAGGGAATTTTCATATCTACTAGACACGTTTTAATTGAAAAAAAAAAAAATATATATATATATATTTTTTTTTTTTTAAAGGGAGCAATTTCTTGATACCTCGATATTTACACCATCTAAAAAAAATCACAGCGTCACCAAACTCTCCGGATAAACCTTTTTAGAAGTAATGTTCACAAAGCCCATGGGCGTGTTGCACCAGAAACACTGGGTAGTTAGCACTTGGCAGGCTTAAGAATAGCAAAAGCGATGTTAACCCCTCCCCTCCTCCCCCCAAATTCTAAAAACCACACAAAAGTCCCTGCAGGTACCTGGAAAGTATTAGGTATGTCCATTTTACTCCTCAGGAACTTTCTTAGATGCATCACTGTCATCGCTGCTGGGCAGCGCAAGTATCTTTTGTCATTCACCTGATGGCATAGAAAAGAAAATTAGTCGACTGAGAACAATTCCTCCCACCAAAGTTGTACTCTAACGTTCCATATTATTATTATTATTTTTTTAAATTCACTTTGACCCATCATGACTGATAATAGAACAATTTCTGCTGCCTTATAAGGAATGACAGAAATAAGCGGTAAACTACGGTTCCAAAATAAGTAATTAAAAATGCATCTAATTACAGAAATAATTTTTTTGTCTCACAGAAAATGTTTTTCTAATATATATCAATCACACAATGATTTAAAAAATTAATTAAATAAATATTTCGGGGCACAATCTGACAAAAAAATCAGATTCCACTTTAAAAAGTAGCAGTGCAGGTATTTTTTATTTTACAAAGTTGTTTACGTAGGAAGGTGTTTGACAACTTTCATACCTGCTGCCATGATAGGTGTGCTTCTTTTGTTCTAGATACATGTACCTATGCATTTTTTTTTCAGCTACAAACCTGCCCCAAAGATGGGGGTTTTTTTTGTATTATGTTTCCTCTAGAGTAAGGAAAAGTTATTTACCTCTTCCTTTGATTTTTCTTTCTCCTTATTTCCTTTTCGTTCCAGTCTGTGAGAAGAAATGAAACAATTACAACAAATAATGAATATAGCTGTTATCAGTCAGGTAAATGTAAAATATTGCCATTCTGGAACTTGCCTATTCTGGTCAAAGAATTCAATGGATAAGCTTATTATCTCGTCGTCTGTTATAATTCTTTTGTCTTCGTCAGCCACTTCTCCCCTGTCTTCATTAGAGCCATTGGCAGCTGCGCAGAAATTTCCACAATAATTTACATTTTGAAATTCAAATCAGGAAGAATGGCAATTCTCAGTTACAAGAAAAAAAAAAAATCTCCATAGTAAGACTATGAATTAAAGCTACCAAACTGTTAATAAAGTTTTATTATGCTGAATTTACTTCTTAAAATTCTGTCACAGTAATACATAATTTGGAAGTTTAAAAAAGAAAACAGTAAAGCATCCAGGTCAATGCTACATTTATTAAAGTTGTGAACGAGAAGCTTTTACCATCAGCCGACGGATGAGCAGCATAAAAATCCCTTCTTCTTTTCATTTCATCTAGATGGAAAAGCATATATTTTATTTTTAGCATATACTCCGTAACTCCTGGTATTGATATAGGATAGCAGTTCTGGGTTTGTTTTTCTACTCTTCAGAAAAAAAAAACCAAACCAACAACTAAACTCCACAAAACTATTTAACTACTTACTTTTGAAAAGGCCTGGTACTAGCTTGTATACAATATCTTGGAGAGTTTTATCTGACCTGAAAAAAGAACATCCCCAAAACATAAAATTAAGCAGATGAAGCAACATTTTAATTCAAGCAGCAGCTTCTCATTTATAATCTTTCACAACAATGAGGCATCTTCTACAAAGTGGGAGGCTGGTCATAAAAAGTTAACTTACAAGACCTTGTAATCAAACTCCCACTGCCCTAAATACCGCTATAAATCAAAACTCATCTGTGCTACCACAACTGAAAAATAATTCTCTGGGGCTGAAGGGAGGCCTTAAAAACTACATGTCCTCCCTAGAAAATAAGAGAGAGCAAAGGGTGACAGTGACAAGAGAAATGTTTCTGGGAGGAGAAGCAGGCTTTAAAGCCTTTTGCCTCTTAGCTCAGAAAGTTTCAGCAAGATTTCTCAGGATGAGGAGCTACTGCTGGAGTGAGGCACGTCTGGGAAATACAGAAATTGGAGGTAAAAACTTGTCGGGACGGTAGGTGTGAGAATTGGGGAGAGGGAAGAGGCGTCGCCTCAAGGGTCCGCTGGTACAAAAGGAAAAAGAAAAAAAAAGACCAACAACAACTTTCTGTCTCCGACCCCGAGAAATCTTCAATTTCAGTCAATGACAGGACTCCAAAGAGAGAGCATACCCAGGAGTTAGCTTGTAAATTGACAAGTCCTTTCAGATTTAAATCGCAGACGAAGAGATAACATCGCCACGGCCACCGCCGGCCTCCCCGCACCGAGTCAAACGAGAGCCCGCAGCCCGCTCCTACCTGATATTCAAAAGCGGCCGAGTTTTGTGAACTTGGACATCGCAGATGGGACAATACTTGCTGGTCTCCAAGTACCGCACGATACAGGTCTTACAGACTGGAAGTCAAACACGAAAGGGTTTTTAGTGATGGGGTAGGTGCCGCTCAGATATGCAGAGACCGAGGTGCGATTTTCTAAACTATGCAAGGCTGGGGCAAACCGTCCATTGTCAGCAGCGCGCTGCTTAAGCTAAACAAATACCCAAATAAGCTGCAATTACCATGAAAAGGAGACGCTTAGAGTACATATATTATTACTTTAACAAAGACCGTAGGGCCGTCGTCGGAAAAAAAAAAAAAACTGCGGTGCCGGCGGGACACCTACTTCCCAGCCCGTCGGGGTGGCGGTCCCGAGCATCCCGGGGAGGGGGTTTGGGGTCTTTTTCTTTTTTTTTTTTTCTTTCCTTTTTTTGTGTGTGTTTGTGTTCCCGGGATGCCGGGAAAAGGTGGGGAGCGGCGGGGGAAGACCGGTTGGTACTTACAGGAGTGGAGGCACTCTATGATGGTTGTGGCATCAATGAAGTACCCGCCGCAGAGCACGCACATGAGGTGGGGGTTTAGCTCGGTTATTTTGATGCGGGTCGTTCGGTGCATTTTGGCGTGGCGAGGGGGCGGCTCTGAAAGACACAGAGGATCCCATCAGCGGGGACCGGCCCCAGGTGCCCAGACCCGCCGCCGTCCCCCCTTTCCCCCCGGTGCGGCCGCATCCCCCGGCGCAAGGGAAGAGAAAAGCGCGGAAGGCGGCGGAGGCGGCGGAGGAGGCGCGGGGGGGGGCCGATCCCCAAACCCGGCGGGGACCGTCCCCCGCAAAACAGCCCCGCATCTCTCCGGCCCGGGCGCAACCCCGCGGAGTGAGGCG